ATAGAGGGGAACTTAAAACTTCACAACAAGAAAAGTGAAAATGAGATAGACGAGCACCGTGGAAGCGGGAGCTAGCCTTGAACTTTGTTCATGCCCATGGAAACTTTGTGAATCTTAATTAGAGAAATTTTTCAACAAAAATAATTATCCCTCTGTACAATTCCGTTGTATTATAAAAAATAATGTGCGAAGGTTTTCCTTTAGGATGATTAAATTGCTTGTTGGTTTGTGCGGTGCAAAATAGAAACTTTGGCTGTAGTGCTCGATTTTACATTTTTTACTGGAATGTCAAACAGTTCTGGAACTTTTTGTACTATCTTTATATACAAATTTTTTATGTTTTCCTAATTTTTTAGAAATTTTAGAGTTACAGAAGTACGGTGGATGTTCAAATATTTACAGACTGTCCTGTTTTCACAGATCGATGCTATAGCTTCATTATTTGCGTATGTTTGAATTCTTGTTGAAGCCTCCTTGACTTGGGGCCATAGAATTGTGATAGCATACAGTGGGTAATGTTTGTTTATAATTATACAATAATTTTACAACAGTACATGATGGGATTTCATTGCCACATTCACTAACCCCACCACTAAAAGTTCGGTTAAGTTTTGTGTGGATGAAGTGTTCGAAGATCGAGGAGGTCTCGATGTGAGGAGAAGGAGGAGATGCAAGAGATCAAGCTTGGGGTTGCCCAAGGCACCCCAAGTAAATATTTAAGGAGACTCAAGCGTCTAAGCTTGGGGATGCCCCTAAAGGCATCCCATCTTTCTTCAACAAATATCAGTATGTTTTCGTTGCTCATTGCACTTCACTTATATCTTTTGAGTATGGCTTTATAGAATGCTTCATGTGTTTCACTTATATCATTTGAAGTTTGGATTGTCTGTTTCTCTTCACATAGAAAACCGTTATTTGCAGAATGATATTTTGCTTCAATTATATTTCTTAGAGCATGGTATTTTGTAGAAAGAATTAGACTCTCATGCTTCACTTAGATCTATTTAGAGAGTCAACAGGAATTGGTCAAATGCATGGTTAGTCATAAAATCCTACATAAAACTTATGATCATTGAATATGATATGTTTGATTCCTCGCAATAGTTTTGCGATATAGAGATGGAATATGTGGGGGGTACTAGTAAATGGTTGTGTTTAGTAAGAATATTGGTGTTAAGGTTTGTGATTCCCGAAGCATGCATGTATAGTCTCTCGTTATGCTATGAATTTGGAGCATGATTTATTATTGATTGTCTTCCTTATGAGTGGCGGTCGGGGACGAGCGATGGTCTTTTCCTACCAATCTATCCCCCCTAGGGGCATGCGTAGTAGTACTTTGCTTCGAGGGCTAATAAACTTTTGCAATAAGTATATGGCCTCATTTGGTTTAGAGGAATCTTGTAGGAATTTCATAGGATAGGATTTCTATAGGAAAAATTCCATCAGAGCCCTTTGGTTTGTAGGAATGGAATCCTATTCCTATGGAGGAATTCTTCATATCCCTCACATTTCATATTAAAATAAACATCAGCCTAGACTCAATGAAAAAAATCCTATGATGTGAATCAAAGGGCACCTCCTTTCCTATTCCTACTCATAGGATTTGAGATACATGTCATCTCATTTCCTATGACTTTCCTATTCCTACGATTTTCCTACCCTATGAACCAAAGGAGGCCTATGAGTTCTTTATGACTAATGTGAGTCCATGGATTATACACAGTCTTACCTTTCCGCAATTTGCTAGCCTCTATGGTACCGTGCATTGCCCTTTCTCACATCAAGACGTGGTGCAAACTTCGCAGGTGCATCCAAACCCCGTGATATGATACACTTTATCACACATAAGCCTTATTATATCTTCCTCAAAACAGCCACCATAACTATCTATTATGGCTTTTCCATGGTCATTCCGAGATATATTGTCATGCAACTTCCACCGGTTCCGTTTGATGACTTGAGCATTCATTGTCATATTGCTTTGCATGATCATATAGCAGGCTCAACCCCCGTTCATCATTTTTCATACATGTTACGCTAGATCATTGCACATCCTCGTACATGCCAGAGGCATTCATATAGAGTCATACTTTGTCATAGGTATCGAGTTGTAATTTTTATTTCTTTTGAGTTATAAGTAAATAGAAGTGTGATGATCATCATTATTCATTTTTAGAGCAGTGCCCCGGTGAGGAAAGGATGATGGAGACTATGATTCCCCCACAAGTCGGGATGAGACTCCGGAAAATGAGAGAAAAGGAAAAAAAGAAAAAAAGAAAAAGAAAAGGTAAACAAAGAGAGAAGGGGCATTGTTAGTATCCTTTACCACACTTGTGCTTCAAAGTAGCACCATGTTTTTCATATGGAGAGTCTCCTATGTTGTCACTTTCATATACTATTGGGAATTTATCATTATAGGATTAGATGCACACCCACATAGTTTTCATATTGAGCTTTCATACACTTATAGCTCTTAGTGCATCTATTGCATGACAATCCCTACTCCTCTCATTGATACCGATTGATGGGCATCTCCATAGCCCATTGGTTAGCCTCATCGGCGTGAGACTTTCTTACTTTTTATCTTCTTTATATTTACCCCTATCATCATACTCTATTCCACCCGTAGTGCTATATCCATGGCTCGCGCTCATGTATTGCGTGAGGGTTGAAAAAGCTGAAGCACGTTAAAAAGTATGAACCAATTGCTCGGCTTGTCATCGGGGTTGTGCATGATAAATACTTTGTGTTAAGAAGACAGAGCATGACAAGACTATATGATTTTTTAGGGATAACTTCCTTTAGCGTTGATATTTTGAAAGAATGATTGTTTGTTGGGATGACAGAGTATTGATGTCTTTATGTCAAATTATAGACTATTGGTTTGAAGCACCTATATCTTAATATACATGCCATGATTAGATATATGATCAAGTTTATGCTAGGTAGCATTCCACATCAAAAATTATCTTTTTTATCGTTTACCTACTCGAGGACGAGCAGAAATTAAGCTTGGGGATGCTGATATGTCTCTGTCATATCTATACTTTTTTATTATTTCATGCAAATATTATACAACTTTTACATACTTTTGGCAACTTTTTATATGATTTATTGGACTAACCTATTGATCCAGTGCCCAGTGCCAGTTCCTGTTTTTTGCATGTTTTTTGTCTCGCAAAAAATCCATATCAAACAAAGTCCAAATGAAATAAAATTTTATGGAGAATTATTTTGGAATATATGTGATTTTTGGGAGTTGGAATCACCGCAAACGGAGGCCCACACAGCCCACAAGACACCAGGGTGTGCTAGAGGCCCCTGGCGCGTGGTGGTGGGTTGTGCCCTCCTCAGATGTCGGTTGGACCTCTTCTTCGGGTGCAAGGAAGCTTATATCTAGAAAAAAATCGTGTTAAAATCTCAGCGCAATCGGAGTTACGGATCTCCCGGAATATAAAAAACGATTTTTGGCCAGATCTGAGAACGCAAAACAGAAAAGAACAGAGAGGAAGATCCAATCTCGGAGGGGCTCCCGCCCCTCTGCCGCCATGGAGGCCATGGACCAGAGGGGGAACTCTCCTCCCATCTAGGGGGGAGGCCAATGAACGAGAAGAAGGAGGGGGCTCTCTCCTCCTCTCTCCCGGTGGCACTCCGGCGCCGCCGGGGCAAAGATCGGGATGACGATCTACATAAAAAATATTGCTACCGTCAACACCAACTTTATCCCCCTCTATGCAGCGGTGTAACACCTCTTATCCCCGCTGTAATCTCTACTTAAACATGGTGCTCAACTCCATATATTATTTCCCAATGATCTATGGTTATCCTATGATGTTTGAGTAGATCTGTTTTGTCTTATGGGTTAATCGTGATCTTGATTGGTATGATTGTATATTTTATTTATGGTGTTGTCCTACGGTGCCCTCCGTTCTCACGCAAACGTGAGGGCCCCGCTGTAGGGTATTGCAATATGCTCATGGTTCGCTTATGGTGGGTTGCGAGAGTGACAGAAGCTTAAACCCGAGTAAGTGGGGTATGACGTATGGGATTAAAGAGGACTTGGCACTTAATGCTATGGTTGGGTTTCACGACCTTAATGGTATTTAGTAGTTGCGGATGCTTGCTAGGAGTCCAATCATAAGTGCATATGATCCAAGTAGAGAAAGTATGTTAGCTCATGCCTCTCCATCATATAAAATTATAAGAATGATTACCGGTACTTATTATTGACTAGTACAAATGCCCGTGCGTCGCACCAGGCGAAATATTAAATATAACTTGCTCCACACACCATTACGCAACACTTTTTTTAATTCAATTTTTGCAAACTTCAGAAATAAGGGTACACTAAGTACTTCTTTTTGGACCATGAAATTTAGACATACTCTAGCAATGTTTGTCATGACCCATTTCAGCTCTCCGATGAAAGAGTAGTTGTGTATGGAATAGTCTTTTGATTAATTTTTTGTTGTTCAGAAAACACAAATATATATTTATTTTTGAGAAGGTGTTTTTTAAAAAAATTAGAATATTTATTAAAATGGAATCATTTTTATGGTGATGAACATTTTTTGGAATAGTATATTTCATTTGTAATATTTTTGTTTGTATAGAAACTCAATCTGCACTTGTCATAGTAAAAGCAAAAGAGGAAACACATAAAACCAACGACAAACAACCATAAAATAACTATTGATCAACAGAGTACATGACTCGGTAGTGCTTGCAAATTTTGACAATATTATCACGTCAGAACCCACACAAAAAGAACCCACAAACATTAAATTTTAAAGCACTCCATTACCTCTTATAATTGGCAACCCAAAATAATGTATATCCTTGGAAGCTCCAAAAGAATTTACATGTGGTGAAGAACTTGTTAAGTACAAACCAAACTCCAGCTTTATTTTCTAAAAAAACTCCAGCTCTACATGTTCATTGTCTCCCTGCTCACTGCCTATTAACTGTTGGCTGATAGAATTCTCTTTGACAAATCACCTTCACCCAATTGAGCTCCCTACACAAGCATATTGGTAGCAAAATAATGTTAGTTGTGCGTTTAGATGTCAAAAGTGGAATCAGAAATTTGAGTCATTTGACATTTCGAGATGAATTGATACTATTTGACATATCAGTTTTTCTTTGGATTTTCCTGATCATAATTTATGAATATATTGAATACGAAAGTACACATAATAAATGAAACAAATACCTTGTGGGAGATAATCATATGTCTCATCAACTTTGATCTCTTTATGTGAATCTGGTTCCTTAACATCATGTAATGAAAAAACATGAGATAATGTTAAGTTAGATGGGGATGGAGGTGATTGCAATGGATCACGATCTATCTGATTATCTGGTTCGGGCACAATTGATTCAAAACACTCAGAAACTGGAGTAGATGTTGAAGATCAGTTATCAAAATCCTATGCAATGTTCAGTTCATTGATGTCATCCACTTTCCGCGGTCATGACAAAAATAAAAGGCAAACCTCCAACCGTTAGAAGCACTATCGGTGGAATCAGTTGAAACAGAGGTAGTACATCATAGTCAGTTTACAGTTGGGATTTTATTGCATAAATTACCACTTCACGTCACCAGTGACCACCACCTCTAGTCTAGCAGCATTTCTACAGTACTGGTTTAACATAAATTACCCTTGCTTGCCTACTTATGGATCGGATAAACAACCAAATCCTAAGTTTGTTTACTTTCACCTTGATGGCCACTGGTTCATTTTCTCTATTTGTATAACCTTGATGTTTTAGTTTATGGGAAGACATACTTTTCTTATATGTGCACACTTCCTCTATGTCCTTTTTGGTTTCCAAGTAACGAAGCACCATCTGCACCAGTTTCATTACAGATACGTGTCTAAAGTACTTGCATCCATATGGCTATTTTGGATGCAGAACGAAAAGAAGACATATCCAGTCTAACCCTGTAAACCACATCACAGTTCAGATACATCAAAGGAATAGCTCACAAACTATCACATAACCGCTAACAGACTATCAAATATGAAGAACACTATTTTTGTTATGGGTCAGAACATATCAAATATATTATGCACAAATTAATTAGTCTCTGGAACTTGAGTCCTTGACCACTTTTTGTTTCTCAATCTGTGATGGAATATAATCAGGACAATAGAAAAAGGAACAAACTAACCCCGTGTATAAGGTCTCAACTCTATTCTTGAGGTCCAATAAGCGACATGTATAACAAATTATGCAATTTGCATGCGTTTCTAGCAATATGATGTAAATACAGCATGTCTCACATCAATATATCGGGACTGAGGGGAAACTTACAATCTGCACGTGAGTGTCATCGAGAGTGATTGCTAGCATGTCTGAGAGCTGAACCTCCTTGGACTCCACCTGAGCACGATCAGACGCCTCTGGCACCTGCACACACACACACGGCAGAGACATGAAAACCAGGCCAAATTAAACCAAGCTCACACCAACCTTTTTCTACCAGGCTGAGGACCTTCTGTCAGCAACCGGACATCAAATATATGTTGTTGCAGTAGCCTGACTAAATAGGAGGTGCTACATAGCACTCTGACATATACACTATAATATAATTCCAAGTTTAGTATGTACAATACTCTTAATAACCCCTAAAAAATACAGTATTCTGCAGACTAACCTGCAACACACGGTTTAGTCTGAATTGGCAATATTTGCAGACTAATGCGCGGGCATTTGTCACAATATCAAGCCGAAGTGAATATATATAGTTTCAGTTTTGCAAGCCATAGGGGCGAAAGAAACTCTTGACATGATAAGGTCATAACACGACAAATTTAACACACTACATACAGATCACCACCATCTTGGTACAATGGAAAAAATTTAGGAGTACGAGTTTCACTATGCAATTCACTGTCGAGGCTAGCGAATGGATGCTAGCAGGAATTCTTTGTTTTATTCTACCACATGTCAAGCCTCCTGACACGTATGACAAGTGCACCATTATTATGAGAAAGATGCAAGGTATCACTCTAGCATCATGTCCAAGAATTACTGTAACCAAGTTCAAGCCACCATGTTCAGGTATATGTAGTCAGCAACATGAAATTTCTTGGTTCAATCATTGGCTAGTAGCACCAATTTTTCAAAAAAGAAAAAGTGAAACAGGGGCTTGTATTGCTGATTAGCTGAAACATAGTGCAAAATACATAAAAACAGATAAAGTAGTTGGTTTAATGCCTCCAGCAAAGTAAAAGTCCGAAGGCTGTCATGATTCTTTAGACGGCTACTGAAACATATGGATTAAAAATAAGCCATTAAAGCTTGTGTCTTTTTAAGCTATTATAATGTAACATCTGAGTATTCAACTCCATGTTAGTTATTTGATGCTAATCCGAGCACATATGGCCGAAAGTCTTTCTTTTCTGGAATTGTATGGCCTGAAGATGAGTAGATGTAGATAGCACATGCATCCATGCATGTCCCAAATTGAAACGCAAGTCATTAGTCTTTTTTTACACATCAATGTAGGCATCTAGGTTCTGCATCAGGGTTGCTTTCAAGTTGCAACGAGTTTGAGAACTGAAGATTCAATGGGAAGCACATGAACATACAGAGAACTAAGGGAAAAAAACAGAAACTGAAGAGCAATTGGAAGTAGCACCAATTTTTCAGAAAAAACAAACTGAAACAGGGGCTTGTATCGCTGATTAACTTTCAAGGGAGACATACCTCTGGTGTAACAGCCTCAGGTGATGGACGACTCGACGGATGATCTTCTTCCGCCGGCGAACTCGGCATTGGATGGCTCCACGGATGATTTTCCTCTGCCGGTGACATTGAACGTACTCTGGAAGTTGCAATGCGACGAGATTTAATGGAGATTCTGATCAAGGGACACGGCCTGATGGACGTTCCGGTCGAGGATCCTTCCCCTCCATATTTCCACATCTGAGAAACATTTTGATAATAGTTATGGCCACGGTATCATTTTATTCCACCTTTGGGTCTCATTGATTCAAAATCTTTTCAAGGAAAATTCAGAGGGTTGAGTTGTTTTCTATGGGGCACTCTTATTTGTATGAGTGAATTAATCCTATAAAATAAGCTGTACAAATTCTTTTGCACTACATTTCTTTGGAACTTTTTTATTTGACACTAACCTCTTGGAACGACCCTTCATTTTCCTTTAGAGCATCTAACTAAAATAGCTCGCTTGGAAATTTAATCAACAATCGAGTGAGAAAATGCCACATCTAAACCAAAGGAATACAACCTTGTTCGCATACTGTAAGGGGATCATGTGATGGCATTGAATGAAACTAAATTTTGCCATGCATGCAGAACAGATGTTTGTTTGTGCATTTGGGAAAGCAAGTCGGGTCATGGGGCAATGAAGGTGGATGGATGCCAAGAGGAAAATAGATCAACAGGGACACAAATTAATGGAAAAGCATTATCAGTAGAAAAGTGTCAGTAAAAACATAGAATTGAACCAGAACAAAAGTGAACTATGCATGTAGTGTCTTCCCAAGCATTCACATGCATAGCTGGAAATGTAGTGTGAGTAAAACCTTGCCAAATGTGAATGATCCATAAACAAATATGTACTGGTTGAACTATATGAGAAATTCACGTGTTCAGAAACAAAAGCGTGAGCAAAAGTTACACCTGTAGGCGCTTCAATCGTGTATGGGGGAGCTCATAATTCTTTGATCCAAGGAAGGCAAGCAGTGGTGGCCGTGCCAAAGGCAACGAATATCAGGATGAATGAGATGTTGGCGAAGGTCCTGTCTGGCGGCGAGCGAGAGGTCGAAGGTGCTGCCCCCATGGCCGCTGCCCATCGCGTCCAGAAGGTTGAGGTTGGTCGTGGCGGCGGCCGGCCATCGATCCAGCAGCTTGGCAGAAGGCAACCATGACTTCTCCGGAGGCGCGGGTGGGCAGTGCAGGCGGGGCGGCACAGAAAGAGGAGCTTGAGGAGCAGGCGCGGCGCTCGGCCCACGGACGACCGACAACGGGCCCAAGCTGGGCGGAAGGAGAGGGTCATGGATCGGGGCGAGCTTGGGTGGTCGCTGTTGACCAGAGGGCGGAGAGAGGAGAGGAACTGGGTGGAAAGAGGAGGAAGCAGGGCTGAGCGGGAACGCCGGTGTGGCCCTCATCGGCGGCTGCCGGTCTCCGGCGGGAGGCGCGGAGTCGGGTTGTCGGGCCGAGGCGTCTCTCACAGCGGCGCAGATGAGGAGTCGGAGGAGGAATACCCTAGCAAATAGTTTTTTAGTTGGTGGACGGACTGCGGGTTCAATAGGCAAAACGGGGTATGCACACGACGTGGTTCCCGAATTAGTACCATCTTGCGTATATGTTTTGAATTTAAATTAAAAACGTAAATTCATAGAAAGAAAGCGTATTGTGACGGTGAACCTGAAGACTCAATCCGTGCTTTATTATTAGGGAGATTACCTAGGGATAAATAACTTTCTTGTTGACACAAACCCTTTTTCTAATCACCTAACTTTTATTATCTTGCAAAATACTTCTAGTTTTATTCTTGCAAAGTAGTTCTAGCATCACACCTACAAAATAGTTTCATACTTGTTTCCGATAAAGCAAACGTCAAGTGTGCGTAGAGTTGTATCGATGGTCGATAGAACTTGAGGGAATATTTGTTCTGCCTTTAGCTCCTCGTTGGGATCGACACTCTTATTTATCAAAGAAGGCTACAAACGAGCCCCTATACTTGTGGGTTATCAACCACGCGTCGGCTTCGGGCAACAACTGGCTCCGTTGGGCCAAGCGAGGTTGGTGAAGCACCGAGCGGCCTCACCTATATCTGGAGGGCTCGGCGGGCCACCCAGCTAGGTAGTATGCCGGAGAACGGCTCCTCGGAAGTCATCGAAAGATGGGGGTGCGGCAGAGGGGTGCAATTCTTGCTCGTTGTCTGTTTGGCCTCGTTTAAATAGAGGGCAGACAGTAGGAGCTTGGCCCATGTTTGGCCTCATTTAAACTGAGGGCGGACGAGAGGAGCTCGGCCGGTGTTGCGTTTAATTCCGGCCTGCTCATGAATGGACGTGTGGCCAAAGTAGGTTTCTCGGTTTGCATGCGGGTTTGCGTTTGATGGAGGCGAGGAGGCGTGTTCAGCTGGGCATGCAGCGGGCGGCGCGGTACTATTCGATTTGACAGCAGGCGGCACAGTTCCTGATACGGCTTTAATGCAGACGAGGGAGAGGGTAGCGGTTCCCAAAATGTTGAATGGCCAATGATGCATCCTCCTTCAATTAGCATCGTGAATGCATGTGGAAAGTAATGGGAGGAGGACCGGGAAAAGAGGCAGCACGATGTGAATGCAACGCAGTTTGCACTCATATAAAGGCGCTCCTCCATTCCAATGCATCTACCACATCATACGCACCTAAGTATTTGCCTAAGCACCTACACTAAGCGCAAAAGTGCTCACTCCAGACCCATGGCAGCGATGATCGTTGCTACCACCAACAAGTTCACTATCATCAAGAAGCTCATGGACAACATCACTGTACTGCTCCAGCCCTCGCGCCTGGGCTCCTCATTGCCTGCCACCCTAATCGACCTCAATGGCCGGAACCTCTTTCAAGCACTGTTGACCCTGCGACTGCCCGCCGACGCCACGAAGAATGTCCACCTGGAGGTCGCACTCTCCGTGAGGCACCTCACCCTGCCTGAATTCGCTGACCTACACATCCACATGTACGAGAAAATTGTGTACATAGGTATCTACGAGGCTAGTGAGGACGCTACGACGTTGGCCTTCCTTAACTGGCTGCAAGCCTTGGATGCCTTTGCTGAGAAGCACCTTGACCTCACCGCAAAAGCTGTCGCTCCTTATCCGTCGGTCGGTAGCCCGGCACACTGAGTTGAGGAGGAGGAGGTCGTATATTGATGGATGCATCTTTCTTCTTGCCTCCTGTAACCACCACTGCGACCGCATCATCATGGCCTTAATTCTTATTGTGCTATTGCATTCTCGTTCCAGTCAATACAGACATATGTGGTCCCTTTGCTTAATTATATGCATCACTGTAACTAGTACTCCATCCGTCAATTTATGAGTTGTGCTTACCTTTTCCATCAACTTCGTGCAACGCACGGGCATCTTGCTAGAAACACTGGAACATGTCGGACCGCATGTGACCAAACCGATGATGCGCTAACCTAGCTACTACCCTGCTTATCTGGCGGAAAAGGCCCCGCCCTAGCGTTTCCAATCGTTATTTCTATCTATCAATCGTGCCAACGAGCAGAACCAAATGTTACAATTTATACATGTTTCTCTACTCCTACTCCTTTAAAAGAGTCAGTTGGTGATGATGGTGTGTCTGACATCCATCGTTTCTGACCATTAGATCTGCATCTAACGGCTATGAGGTAAGTTGTGGCATTTTTGCAACAATAGCCCAGTTCCCTACTCCAATTTGCAGAAAAGCCCTTATTACCTTGAAAGCAACCACATCCCTCCCTCACCTCATAAAAACAACCTGAGAAATGTATTTTTGAGTGAAAAGTAATATATTTTTAGTGGTATATATGTATATCAAAACATGAGTGTTTTACTTCAAGTTTGTGAACAAGTACTACTATTCTACTACTTTGGATCCATCGCAACGCACGGGCACGTTGCTAGTAAAAGAAAAAGGCATGCCGCGTTCGCATCGCACCCCCACATGCCCGGGAATCGGGAGTACTCCATGGCCCGTCCAGCACGCCACATAGCTAGGGAAGGTGTGTTTCCTAGCATTTTCACTTTCATGTGGGATCGTAGTTGAGCAAAACGACTATTGGCAATTCGCACCCCGCCCGCCATGTTGGAAAACAGAAATGAGGAGGGGAAGATCTAGCTGTAGCACGGAAGCCAAGAAATTTGGTGTCATATGGGGCTCGTTGATAGAGTATGACCATTCCACACTACTACTCCTACTAATAGTACGAAGTTTTACTACAACTAGTACTACCACTATACAACTAGGTATGTGCACGACACAACATCGTAGGAACAAAAAATGGGAAGATCTTGTTTTGGGTGATTTATCTTTTTTTCAGTCAACGTAGTATGAATAATATGATGCAGGGGGCACCCATGAAGCTTATGTGGCTTGGTTGCATGGCTAGGAAAGACTAGAGAAAAATAATTAGATAATGTGTTTAGAGTGCACTCCACTAAATAGATATACTTTGGATCCATTGCAACGCACGGTCCGGCACATTGGTAGTAGTAAGAAACAAATTCCAGGTTTGGCACGAGTTTATACTGCGGGAGCACCACAAGGCCTTCCGCAGGAGTCACATTTCCCTCTCGGGGCCCACGGGATTGACCTTCAGTGGCTTAGTGCACCGGCCTATGAGTCAATGACATGTGGACCTTAAATGTGGCTGGCCCACATGTCATTCTCATGCTGGTGGCATGGCTCGCGACTCACTCGTTCGAGATGAACCGCCCGGTGGTGACGTGGCCGTGCCGAGGGTGCCACAGCTGGGTATCGAGGCGTTACGAGGCATAGATGGCCACACTGGAGGGTACTACCTGTAGTACATAAGTACTCCAGCTGAGGATTGATGCCCGGGATGAAATGTGTCACAACCGCTGAATGAAAATTCGATGGTGCGGGAGTACGGATCGGAGCACAGGAGCGGAGCAGGAAAATCGCGTCCAATCAGGTGTGGCTATGGTAGAAACTTGATGGTCGCCACAGTTCAGCTGGCCCGCATGTCATGCACACAAAGGCAGAGGAGCGGTGGGGCCGAGAGGGATGAGGCGCATGTCAGGGGACGTC